GCCGGGGCCGGCGAAAGGCAGTGGACTACATCCGCAATACGATGTCACTGTGGCTGACTCCCACACTTCGAGATCGTTTGGTGGCCGCGCTACAATGATGCGGCAGCCTTAAAGTGCGCCGGTGGAGTCCGCAGACGTAGAGGAAGTCAGTGGCATCCTCGTATTGGCAAGCGGCTTTAGCACAGCGATGAGTGCAAGCGGCACGAGCAGCGCAGGCGGCAAAGGGAGGCTCCATAGCCTCTAAAAACCGCAGAGGACACCGAACCTTGACCGTCCCTGGGCCAACAGCTGGAAGCTCTTATTACAACTTCTCCTTGCTCTAGGTGACAAACCTGATAAAAGGTTCATGAAGCTGTTCAGCGCGCATAGCGCACCCGCAGTCTGGAGCTTTCACTTGATCAGGCAGGCCTGTAGAGACGTTGACTGGAGGAAGTAAAGCCCGGACTCGAGCACAGGAGCCCCCAGCACACAGTCATGCGGGAGCGAGGCTCTGATATTGATGGGGCGGGGACTCGGAGATTCCGGAGGGGCTGAAAGCCGGGCTCGAAAGCTTCGCTTACCGCATTTTGAGACGGATGTTGTGGGGGCTTTTGTGGATGCCGCATAGCAGCATGCTCGCCATCGTCGAGCTCAACAGTCATGCCCTCCGACCTCCGGACGATCTCATCTTAAAGTCTTGCCTTGAATCAGTAGTGCAGTAAGGCTCTGCGTTCTCCTGGGCGGTCGCAACCAAGTTGGCGCGGTTACACGGGCTCTTGAAAGGGCGCTGCGCAACATTGCCTTTGCGAATGCAGGGGCATGCTGATCATGCTGTCGCCGCTTGGGTAAGCACGCGAGCTGCCAGCTCACGCTGCGTGGGACACTGCTAGGCAGCTTGCGCGGTGCGAAACATGAAGCGGAGCTGTCCGTGTGGCGGCTCTTCTGCATGATGGGCGTTAAAGCGACGCACTGGACGGAGACGTCTCAAGATGACCGTCTCGCTAGCGTGAGACAGCGTGCCCTGATCTGAAAGCGGCTCAAAAGGTCACTCCTTCCCAACGGCTGGGCACAGGCATCTGGCCGCGGCCACAAAAAAGCCCGGCTTCACGATCGGGCAGGCTTGCCAGTCCACCGCCCGTCCCATTCGCTCGCCATGGAGGTGAGAGTGCAAAGCTTGCCTGTTCAACTGCAAGGCCGTGACAAACCTGATATAAGGTTCGTGAAGCAGGCCTTTGAAGACCCCGACTGGAGGAAGTAGAACCCCGGACTCGGACGTCATGCGATGGTGAGGCTCTGGTACGGCGCTCGCACTGCGGCGAGGGCGGAGAACTCGGAGAGTCGAAGGCGCCGAAAGCGTCAGGGCTCGAAAGCTTCGCCTGTCTTTGCCCGGCACAAGGCGTGGTTCATGCGGACTTCAGATGTTTGAGCCGACGACCGACGGATGTTCAGGGCCTTTGTGGATTCCACATAGGCAGCTTGCTCGCCATCGTCGAGCCCAACGATCATGCCTCTGGCTTCCGGCTGGGAAGTGGCACGTTCTCACTAAACTTGCCAGAAGCCAGGAGAAGTGTGCACCTCAAGCCATGGGTGAGGCGAGAGGCCCGAGGGCCTGAATTCCGCACGCAGCCTACATGCGCGAACATCCACGTGCTCCCTTGCTGCTGTGCTACTTCAGTTTTCCGGCGATGCACTGGATGCAGCCGTTTCGCTAGTCTGAGAAAAGGCGTGCCGTGATCTGAAATCTGTCTCTTGTGAAACTGCTTCCCAACACGGTTGCGCACACGAATCTGACCAGCCGCCGTCAGGCCACAGCATAAGAGCTCGGCTTCGCAATCGGGCCGTCATGCAGTGGCATCGCTCGACTTAGGCGCTCACTGTTGGTGCAACAGGGCAATACTTGCCCGGTCAGTGGGCAAGGGACGGCCTACAGTCCCAGGCGAGGGCAAGCGGCTCTCTAGCGGCTCACACGTGCTGAACACGCAGATACGCTCCCAATTGAAGCATTGTACGCCTACCTTCTTTGGATGAGCTGCTGCACGAAACTTGCGGCACGCAAGGCACGATTGACTGGAGGGGGGGTAGGCTCACCTCAGCATCAGCCGATTTAAATGGCAATGGCTAGACTCAGTCAAAAAATGAAACTTCCTGAGCCTCGGACGGGTCCCAGCCATGGCGAGAGGGCAAGGGATTCTTGACGTGGCCATGTCAGCCGGCAAATACTGTCTCTTGATATCTCTCGACATCGCAATCTGCAAAACTTCTGAAAAATCTCGCCAAGACCTTGTGCACACGCCGTACCCTGGCCCTGAAGCGGAAGCCAACACTCAGGATCAGACAATTCAGCAAACGACTGCGGTTTTCAGAAAATTTCAGGGAGCTAACAACACTCAGACGTACGTAACGCGTTTCATTGCATTTCGCGTTGCCTTTGATGCAAAGGTATCCAAAGGATGTAGCATCCGGCCAAAGATCCGTCGACCCTGCACGCGGCGCGAGAATCTTCAACACCCTTGCATCAGTGTTTTAGATGCGAGAGCTTTGGGGTTGTAAGGAGCTCGAATGCTGAAGCAACAGTTCTGCATCCCATCAGACAAAGAGCCGATTCGTATATCAACTGCTTCAAGGGAGTTGTCGACTTTGTGCGATGCGGCCTACTAAAGGACATATAGGAGGTCTCCTCCAAGGCTATACAGGCATTTTACAACGGATTGAGGGCGAGGCTACCAAAACACTTGTGCGGGAATAGCTGGCGACTAGAGTGAAGAACACAGAAAATCCAACGACGGCAGCACCAGAAAATCCTCAGAAGAACCTTCGCCGACCCTCCCTGCCCGCAGCCTCGTGGCCTCTTGTGACTCTTGCGAGGCCTGAACCTTAGGTCAGGTGTCAATAGCATTACAATGCATTACACATAAAACTTCTGATGCCCTTGTTGCGTCGGGAAGGGGGGGTGGGGGGGTGGTTGTCGCCGAACCGATCCTTCCGTTTCAAGCTTGCGTCGCACCTGCCAAACACAAACGGTCCCCACTACCCAGCAAGGCTATTTTCCAACTGCATGGCGAGCGCACTTTGCAGCCCACAGCAAGCAGGCATCCCTTACGTTGTGCGCGGCGCCCGAACCCACCGGCCTCGCAATGTGCTCTTGGCACATGCCAGGTGACGTGCGCAACTAGAAGCATGCCGCATGGGGCCCGGCACAGCACCACATCCTGACAAGTACAGGGCTGGGAAGCATAGCGTCGGCATCTGGCCACGGTTGAGGTCGTCAGGCTGAGTCCTCTTGTCTGGTCGCACAAGTGAAGGGACGGCAAGCGAGGGAGTGTGACACAGCCCTCTTTATCGTGCACCCGATCTCATGGGAAGAGGAGCAAAATTCTTAAGATGACAAGTTACGTGACTCTGGACGGTCCAAGCACGGGCTGCCTCCGAGAGGGGATGCGCGCGAGGTTGAAGAAGGCCGTCGCAGCCATATGGCAGTCATATGTCGAACATGGCTCACACGGCAAGTGACGCTTTGTGGAGGGCATGCTCAGAACTGCAATGGGCCATCCTCCGTACAGCTCACAGCCGCCCAGACCTCCCAGGCACCGTTTCCGGGCGTTTTTGTGGCAGCGGCCGCAAAAAGGCAAGGCGGCGGAAGGGTAAACTGGGTGAACATGCCGGGCTGGGCTGGAAACCATCGCGTCCTCCCTCCTGCACCTTCATGGGTCTTGCAGCTTGAAGCTCTTGTTGCCGGGTTTGCTTAAGTTTCAACCAGGAGGGAATCAAAGTGCGCAGCCTCCGCGCGCCCGAGTCTGCATGCTTTGGCAAACCGAAGGCCATCCGTCACTGTGTGAATCCTTGACAAGGAAAACTGCATCAGCGATGTGCCAGGGATCTGCCCTGCAGCCAGTGAAGGCGATTATGGGGCAACCGGCATCTGCGGCTCCAGGCAGTGTTGCGCCTGCCCGAAGGGTGCCCGAGGCACAGCACGGACGGATGCAATCCACGAGCACCCGGAATCCTTAGAGCCGACGCGTCACGAGTTGGCGCATGAGTTGGGCTCTTCGCTCTGCGGGGGCCCTAGTCTCCCTCGCACGACATCGACACACACACACACACACACATACACATACACGAATGCCTAAGGTGTTTTCACACGGGCACATGGCACGCACCATGCTCTTTAAGTACTTGCCTTAAGCAGGACATGATTCGAGGCTTTCTCGCAGCACGCACAACAAGGGAGCTGGCGGTGCCAGCACTTGCTGACAGACTGCGCAAGGCTACACTTTCACAACAAAGGCCAACATCAAGAAAACTTCCAGGAAATGCCACCTGACCTGGACTGCATGATTCAAGACAATGTCGCATCTGTCCAAAAGCCGCGCGGCTCAGCTTTTCGAAAAGCCAAGTTCGGTCATGCTATGAAGGGGAGCCTGACTCCATGTGCCACTCGCAAGCGAACATCCTGCTGTTTACACACTTGCCTGCTGCTTGAAGCAGGACAAGTTGATTCGAGGCTTTGTCGTTGCACCGCCACCTGCTGACAGACTGCACAATGCTACACTGGCAAGGCCAGCGTCAAGTAAACTTCCAGGCAATGCCAGCTGTCTTGGACTGCATGATTCAAGACAATGTCGCATCTGTCCAAAAGCCGCGCGGCTCAGCTTTTCGAAAAGCCAAGTTCGGTCATGCTATGAAGGGGAGCCTGACTCCATGTGCCACTCGCAAGCGAACATCCTGCTGTTTACACACTTGCCTGCTGCTTGAAGCAGGACAAGTTGATTCGAGGCTTTGTCGTTGCACCGCCACCTGCTGACAGACTGCACAATGCTACACTGGCAAGGCCAGCGTCAAGTAAACTTCCAGGCAATGCCAGCTGTCTTGGACTGTATAATTCAGCACAACGTCGCGACTGTCCAACAGCTTGACTGCGCAACTCTTCGAAAAGCCAAATCCGGACACGTTGTGCAGAGAAGCCTGACTCTGCATGCCATTCACGAACGAACATCCTGGTGTTGACACACCTGCCTATGGGCCTACTTGCCGGGCCGAATGCTTGCTTCAAGCGGAACGAAGCGCTTCGAGATGCTTCGAGGCTTCGACGGTGCGCCGACACCAAGGGATCGGGCGGTGTCAGCACTTACTGCCAGACTGTGCAAAGTTACACCGACCAGGCCAGCGTCAAGCAAAACTCCAGGCAATTCAACACAGTGCTGCGCGTGTCCAACAGCCACATCGCGCAACTCATAGAAAAGCCAAGTCCGGACGCGTTTTGGGGAGAAGCCTGACTCCAGGCGCCATCCACATGCCAAGCCACACATCTTGCTCTTTGCGCAGCTGCCTTTGGTCTGCTGCCTCAAGCAGGACAAGATACCAGGCTGCCTCAAGGCACCAATGCTGACAATCGGCGGTAGCATGCGCAGTGCTGCACTGAGAAGAAAGCCAACGTCTAGCAAACTGCCCAGCAATGCAACCTGTCCCGGGTTGGATGATTCAACACAGTTGCGGCTTGCGCGTCGGCCCGACTTCCCAAACGACATTCCGAAAAGCTTCGTGTGGTCTTCGAATCTCATGTGACTCATGCTCCTCTGGCACATCCTCTGGCGGGCGAGGAAACGATCCTCGAGACTCTCGAGACTCGAGCTGCTGCTGAGCCCATGTGCTTGCGACGGCTTCGGAAGGCATGCGCCTTCAGCTTCAATGGCGAAACTGAAAAGCTCTGGAAACAAGTCCGGCGGGAACGATAGAAGCCGTCGTGGAGGCGAGCCCAAAGCCGCACAGTCGGAGCCTTGCTGCTGCCCTCTTACACCCCCTTGCGCCCGCTCGCAGAAGCAGGACGTGCTTGGAGGCTTTGCCGCGCTGCTCGCGCTGCGGGGGATTCCGGGGGATGGCGGACGCCAGGAATGGCTGGCAGAAGGTCACGACCTGCCATGCTGCATGGAGTGTACTACAGTCTACAGGATACTACAGGCCGATGTCATACAAACCGCCAAGCAAAGCACCGTGTCCCGGACTGGATGATGCCCAGCCGCGGCGCCTCGTCCTTCCAGCCGCTATGTGCGGAATCACATATGCTCCCATGCTCCTTTCGCACGAGCAGCAGGTCGCAGCGGCCTTCTCCAGGAGCTCATGAGCCTTCTAAAAAGACAACAGCAATCCTGACTTGGAGCCCTCGACCTGCGCAAACAGCAGCACGGCGTGTTCTGGACGCAAGATGGCACCGGGGGGAGGGTTCGGAGTCACAGAGCATCACAAAAAAGACTTTCAACTCTCACCTCCAAGGCTCGAGATCTCGAAAAGCTGGCAGTCTACACTGTCCGCACCCGAGCTTCGGGGATCCACGCAACCGACAAGTGTCGAACGAAGGGCCTGTGCCGAGCGGAAACCTGAGCTCGATCTTCGTGGCAAATCTCGAACTCCACCGGACCTCGCCTCTTTAGCCCAAAGAGGCCGAGACCAAAATCCGACGCAGCTGATCAAGGAGGGGTGTTCAAGGTGTGCGGGGCATGCCCGCCGATAGCCCCGCAAAGCCACATGCGTCGTGCGAGCATAGTCTCCCAGCCCAATTTCTTCGGATGGCCAGCCTGATCCGAGCGAAGTCAGCAACGCGCAGCCAAGACGGATGTCTCGACCCCCGGTCAGAGTCTGCCCGCAGGTCAAGCCACAATGACCCGCCCTCGACAAGACCTACTTGAGAGCAGGGCGAACGAAAGATACCAAATTTAAAGCAGCTAGCCCCGAAGACGGCGCAGCCTGTGCTTCTCGGCCAGGGCTTATACGTGCAGTTGCCGCAGCAAAGGGTTCGAACTTTGGCAGAGTTGCAAGCCGTAAGCTTAGACTGCCTGGCAGAATTTGTTTGCGCTTGTTGCGGAAACTCGGGTGCAGTACTTGAAAAGAGGGGGAGGGGACTCCCCCCACTCCACCCCCTTGCGTTCCGGGCTCCTTCGATGGGCCCCCGCCCCCCACACCGTCCTGCGAGTGACCTTGAATTCTTGAGATATCAGGCCAAAGGTCCCCAAGCCCTGTTGACAAGAAGGTTGTAAACAAAAAAACCCGCAAGCTCCAAGGAGATAGCTCTCGTGACTATGAGATCGAAACAAAGGAGTTTCTTTTCCACTACGAGAAAAGAGCCCCTTTGCACGTCAGTGATTGGGCTGTTCTAAGGTCGTTTTGGATGGCACCCCATCCGAATGTCGGGGACGGAAGCGCCATGCGGCGTCGCCCAGTGGAGGTGCAGACTTCTTTTGGGAGAAGGCGAGCGACTGCTGTCCTTGCACCCCAGCTGGGAAGGGGCTCGGAGCGTGCGGCACATGGGCCAGCCGCGGCTTGTGTCGTCATGGGGATTCATGGATTGCTCCAAGGTGCGTGTGGAAGCTGTCCGACCACTTTTGCACTGAGCTGCTCAGACTGTAGGTGACACCAGACTGTGGTTGTGCACACACGCGCGAGACTCGTTGAGAGCACATGGAGCCGTCCAGCAGCTAGGATACGCCGATGCCTCTCCGGGAGTCTCGCGTGCCAAGTGAGGTCTCGGAGACCCCGAAGGTCCTCTTCTCAGCCTACGAAGATGTTGCTAGCACAGGATACAGAGGTGAGGACTCTCAGCATCTCTCAGCACTCCCCACTGCAGGCGATCTGTTGCCTGCAGCGAAGGGTGGGCTGCATATGGCGGTATTCGCTTATCAACCCCCTTGGGAAACCCTCGTCGTCTCAAGGCAGGAGGTGCGTGCTGTGGGTGTGCAAGGTTGCAAGCTGCGAGCTCAGGATGACTGCGACAGAGGTACAGAACGGACACATGGCACAGGAAAGGCGAAGGAAGACATGCACCCAAGCCTCCGACAAGCCTGGCCCTACGAGTACTGCAGAAGCGCACGCACCACGCAAAATTACGCACGTCGGTCAATGCTCCGAGTCTCAGAGCCTCTTCTGCCTCTGCGAGGGAGATCGCGCACAAGGGCCGGCTGCCCCGACGCTCCGAAAACGAGTCGCACACGGGTGATCCGCAGCTCTCGGCAGAAGCGAAGCTGGGCAAGCGGTCTTTTGGCGCAAGGGAAAGCGGAGTTCACGTTGAGCGCGACCAGGCATCATGAAGCCAGCTACGACTGGCAGCGCTGGACAGTCCGGGGGTGAAGCGGTCTTTTGTCGCGGGCTCGGTGCTGCTCACGTTGGGTGTGGCTACTGCACGACAAGGCAACATGCTGGCCAGCGTTGAACGGTCTAGGAAACACTGTCACACTTAGTGAAAGAGTGGCGGCGCGAGTCCTGCAGCTTTTGCTGAAAAAACGTTTCGGCCGACTCCGCAGGCCTGTCCTTGGACAGGATTCGATGATGCTCCGTCCGCCAATGCACAGTAGACCTAGGCCTTCCAGACTCCACTAGTGTCGCTCTAGCAGAGGCACGGCACGGATCACTGCCACGGCCGCATTTTGAACCGGTGACTTAAAACTGTTGCGGGCGAGGCTTCGAGCTTCGAGCTCAGGACTTGGACGGACTTGGACGGAGGCACTGAAGGGACATATAACGCACATGACCCAGGGTACGCAAAGGAAGACATGCGGCCAAGCCTCCGGCAGGCGTGGCCCTACGAGCACTGGAAAGTCTCTTTTAAGGACCTTGCACACCCGGACGCACTGAGTCAATGACATTTCATCCACGTCAGTCAACCCCCAAGTACACCCCAAGTACAGCATGAGATCCCCTTCTGCCTCCGCGAGGATCGCGCACAAGGGCTGGCTTCCCCGAGGCGCTGAAAACGCATCGCACGCGTGGCATCCGCAGCCCTCGGCAGGAGCGAAGCTGGGCAAGCGTCATTTTGGCGCGAACTCGGGGAAAGCGCAGTTCACATTGAGCGCGACCAGGCAGCATGAAGCCAGCTGCATCTGGCAACGGTTCAGCTTGGGTGTGGGAGACAGGGCTAATTAGCCCAGCAGGAGAATGCCGAAGCAAACTGTTCGACATGGGCATCTCTTCGATCTCTCGATCCGCGGGGAGTGCGCAAAGGCCACGTTTGACTAGTCGGAGTCGGCACCAGCCATTGGGGTGCCCCAGAACGGGCGGATGCGTCCGCCGAAGTAAAGCCAACAACGATGGCTTCAAACCGAAAAACATGCTACGAGCAGGTACGTATGAGACTTGGCCCCTTGCTGGCAGAGTCCAGACGAGCCTGGAAGCCACGATGGCGGACTCAGCTTCGATGCATGAGACCAGAAAACACCGCTTGCTTGACTCTGCGTGGAATGCGTAGTGCTTGCGCGCGGCCACGGAGCATGATGACCACCGGTTGGCCAAACGAATGAGTCTGCGGAAGTAAAGCCAGCAGCGACGGCTTCAAACCGTAAAGGACTCGAGGCATGTTGCCTTGACAAGACCAACAGAGTCTAGTTTCTGCAGAGGCCACAATGTTGGAGGGTGCAGCATGAATGCATGAGACTGAGATGGAAAGCACTGCTCACACTCTGCATGGCTCCGGCGCGGCCACAAAGGGAGTGCAGGGCCCGGCTTGGCGGAAGAATGTCGGAACAAACCGTGAAACGTGTGCCTTGCAGACATCACGCCGCGAGGGGCCAACAAACGCATGTGCGAAAGAGAAGCCAGCAGCGACAGCTTCAACCAGAGAAACATTCTAGGCACGGCCACATGTAAACGAGATCTTGGGGCACACAGCAACTTCGCGCTCCGGGCTGTCGGACGTGTTGGGTGCTCTTTGCTGCGACCAGCTGGAGGGCATCTGCAGATGTTGCATGAGATGTAAGGCTGTGTCACCAAGGTTGGGACACTGCACACCTTCGCATGCCTTGCTTTCCTCATGCATAGTTTCCACACCTGCAACGGGTGCGGCATGCCCGTCGTGAATGCAAGCGGCGCAGGCCTTGTCTCTTCTTGATGGCCCAAGATGCTCAATCTCCTACAAATGCCATGATCGGACACGTGGTCGGACAGGCTAAGGGCGATGCATGATCGTAGCGGTAAGCAGGAGCAGCGCTAGCAAACCCATCTCTAGCAGTATCAGTATTAGCAGCATGGGCATCTAAGCACCTCGTTTCAGGGCAACCGGCCTCTTCAGCAGTACAGGGGTTCGCCGTGAGCTGTTGCTCACAGCTTGCTGGTTCTTAGAAGACTGGGCTCACGAAGTGGCACGGGCAATATGGACTTCGTTGAGCAAGCGGCAAGGCTCACAGGAAGCTGCGCAAAGTCGGGAATAGTCGGGAAATCATGCTGACGTTGGCCTCCACAAGGTTTCAACCGGAAAAACATTCTAGTCACGCATGAAACTTGGCGCCTCGGTAGCAGAGTTTGGCTGGCCGCGACCTCTACAGCACAAAATGCATGTTTTTCGCGCTGCTGGATGAGCGGTTTTGCACGGGAGAATGCTATAAAACGAGGATTCTGCAAAGCTTATTATGCGTGCCCATGCCTTCCCGGAGTGCACTGTGCAGACCATCCTGCGCGAAAGGCGCGCCTCGATTTCTCTACGCCACCTTTTTTGGCCGCGGCCACATGTAAAAGAGAGAGTGCGACCTCTTGGGGCACACAGCACCTTCGCGCTCCGGGCTGTCGGACGTGTTGGGTGCTCTTTGCTGCGACCAGCTGGAGGGCA